CCCCACCCACACCCCCTTCCATCCCCCATTCCACCCCAATCCCCACGAGCACACACACGCACACACACAACGTCGGCATGGACCAACCAAAGCGTTCTGATCACGCCAATGTTGACATTTGATAATATGAGCGTGGAGGCAGACCGACTGTAGATCCTTGTACCGTAGCAATTAAACCCTAACGCATCATAACCTAACCCTAGGACCTTTTCTGCAGACCAATATTAAAGAGGCAGCCATCTTCCAGAAAAGACATGGGGCTGCCAGAATATAACATCCTGGCTGGCTCGAAACGTGGCCTGGCTGGCAACAACCCGCAGGAACACGTAAATCGGCGTTTCAGAGACTAAGTAGTCGGCTAAGTGCTTTAAATACTGAGCCTTGCGCCATACTTTCGTGCAACAGTGTTTAAACCTTATTCCGTCGTTGCTTCAGCTTGAAGCTACATTAAATTTAGCCGTACTTGGCTTGGTTGCATGCTTTTGCTTGCAAAGTAACGCAGGCGAGAAATTCAAAAACAAACAGTTATCTGCGGAACCGTCGGTCAGCGTTTGATGACGGTTTTGCTTTGCTTGCCGCGCTGCATTAGGAAAAAACAGGCCAGATGACACAGTCCTGACATGGTCTGCTCAAAATCCAACCATGTACTTTCAGCAAATGTGGTCCCAAAAGTACACAGTTACTACACACATTGACACTATTTTAACCGTGCATCCTAGGAAACCGTGTAGCCTACACAGTTGTTTGAGGCTACACGGTTGAAATTGTGTCAATGTGTACTAACTGTGTACTTTTGGGACCACATTTGCTGAAAGTACATGGTTTGATTTTGAGCAGACCGTGTCAAGGCTGTGTCATCTGACACATGTTTGATCTTGGTGGCGAAAAGACAGTGCGTGTATATGTATTTACATGTTAAAGTAATATGGGAAATTGACAAAAGGGGGTCCTCTGTGAGATATCTTGACAAAAGGGGGTCCTCTGTGACAAAAGGGGGTCCTCTACGGGGGTGCATTTGACAAAAGGGGGTCCTCTGACCGCCCCCTGTACATTATGCGCTTCGCCAGCCCGGCGCCAGACCGGCGCTGGCGGGCAAGCCGGTCCTAATAGGGGTGACCCCGCAGAGGACCCCCTTTTGTCAAATTCGCCCCCGCAGAGGCTACTTTTTTGTGCTTGAAAATGAGCAATACACGTAAATACAGGTCTTGTGTACATTAAGACAGCATATGCAGACTCATGGAAAACGGGGAGTGGCGGCCAGATGCGCTGGAGTGGGCAGATACCAACCTTGCATCTCGACGACGTCGTTGCCTTTGCTGAGGCGGAGATGGACGTTGCGTTGCGGGTGCTCGAGGGAAAGGAGGATTGATCATTGTTTGCGATTTAACCATGAAGCCTGGATGTCTCGAGTACTAATAAAATACTAATTTCGTTAACAAATTGCTTGTCCTTTACGCCATCTTGATATAAGTTTGCAGGATCAGCTCAAATAATCAATTCTTCAGCAAATTCGGACTTCGCAACATACTTCCTGATTACCGCACAGGGTGCGGGACAGCACAGGAGGGTGAGCGCCAGTCCAGGCACATGGCTGGCGGGTGTGGCGCGGTTTGGCGCAGCGTGGGGCGTCGATTGGCAGCTATGGATCGACGGGAGAGGCAACCGAATGGCAGGCCGATTGGCAGCGAGCATGCAAGCAGATCCTCCGATGCAAGAAGGCGGATCGACGGGAGAGGCGGACCAACGCGACGCCAGTCCGCAATGGGAATTGATTCGCAGACAAAGGGCGTTGAAGCTCCATATGGCCCTTGGGCAACCAGCTTGAGCTGGAATACAAACATGAGTGCATTGGTTTTTGGGTTTAAGGGAATGCGTTGAACGAGTGAGGGCCCTTGGGCCACCGGCTGAGTTGGAATGCGGATATGAGTGAGTTGGTTTTGGGTTTAGGAGAATGCGTTGAACGAGTGAGGGCCCTCGGAAGCAGGTGCGATGCGAATGTGAGCAAGTCAACTGGGGTCAACGGAATTTTAGACGAGTTGTCCATTAGACGTAATGTCCTTAGACCACTTGTCCGTTGGACGAGTTGTCTTTAGACGAAACGGCCGACACCCGTTTTCGGCCCGCTCACGGGTGGGCGCAAGGTACCCCCACTGTACTTCAACCCCATAAAAGCGCAAAGAGCACACAGCCCCAAGCGCACAAGTTAATGTCCAGCGCGCTCCCGCGCCCTTTGCAGCCTCGTCTGTTGCACAGAGCCCCTCTCCCGACCCACAGGCCAGTCCACAAACGGCGGCCAAACATGGCGAGCCAGTCACAGGACCAGTCTCTGGACCAGCCACAGGACCAGTTGCAAGACGACTACTGCAAGCTGACTAACTTCGAGACCCGGGCAACCACATATGGTTGCGACGTTCGCCGCACGCTGCCGGGCTACGGCACGATGTTCGACATGGCTGCCGCTATGCTGTCCAGCCGCGTGCCGCAAGATTGCAACCTGCTGGTGGTGGCCGCGGGAGGCGGCGAGGAGTTCTGCGTCTTCGGGTCGAGATTCCCGGGCTGGAGGATGACGGGCGTGGACCCGTCGCCGGCCATGCTGGCCGTGGCGAAAGAGAGGGTGGAAGAGATAGGGATCGGCGATCGGGTGCAGATGCTGTGCGGCACGACGGGCGACCTACCCGAAGGGCAGGCCTTCGATGCCGCGACGTGCGTGCTGGTGATGCACATACTTCCCGACGACGGGTCCAAGCTGGCGTTCCTGAGGGAGGTGGCCGGGCGGCTCAAGCGCGGCGCGCCGCTGCTGCTGGCGGACACCGTTGGGGAGGCGGGGGGAGAGGCGTATGGGAGAATGGTGGCTGACGTGGCCGCTCATGGGTTGGCCAATGGGATGGAGGCGGAGACGATGGACAGGTACAAGGTGGTGGCGGGGACGGTGGTGCCGGTGGTGACGGAGGCGAGGGAGATAGAGCTGCTGGAGCAGGCGGGCTTCGAGTTGGAGTTCAAGTTCTTCCAGGCGCTGATTTTCAACGCCTGGATTGCACGCAAGAAGTAGAAGAGGAGCAGTAGTGGACGAATAGGGTGCGGACTTGCGCGGAGTGGGAGTGCCGCTTGTATCTGGCGAAGATGGATGGCATTTGACACAATGTGGTGCCTGATATCGCCAGCTTGGTAAAAGGGCCTGTCTTGTCTTGTGGTGTAAAATATGTGATAGACGGAATTGTGCACAATGTGTGATTGGTGTGACTGGGGATGCGCTTGCAGGGAATGCTGTTCGGGTAACGAGCCCACTGATGGGAGGCGAAGGAGGTGCGATGGGCCCAACGTCTCTTCTTGAAAGTGGGAAAGGGGGGATGCTCTTTGGGAAATTTTTGCTTTGGAGCTGGCAGCCGAACGGAGGCGCCAGCTTGGGGCCCGTCCATGCGCACCACGTCACTTCCGCACGTTTGGTGTAGGTACGAAGGGGGCGGGGGCGCCAAAGCAAGGGACGTCATGCTGATGGATGGTAACCCATGCTGGTAGACCATGCGTCTCACGCCCGAGTGAATGTCTCCATGCTTATTGCTCACTTTCCACTTGATGCTAGTTTCCAGCAAATTCTCATTCTATAATGCGCTCCTCTTTCTGCAGCTTTAGGAAAGATCTAGGAGCACGGATCGAGGGACAGTTAGTGACCGCGATCGTCTGCTTTTCAGCGCAAGGGGCCCTCTTGGCAAACCGTCCTTGTATTTGTAAGTGTTCGCTTCCATGCCCCGATGAATGCCATTTCCATTCTTGGACATACGTACTGAATATATCGGATATTTTCCAGCGTTTTTCGCACACAACTTGCAGAGCTGTCGCAGGCCATACGCATGTTCTGGCAGGGCCGAAAAACAGCTGGAGTAATTTGCGGCGATATGTCATGAAGACCACCAGTGGCCAGCAGCCCTGTAGCAATATAAACAAGGCGTTCAACGTCATCAATATGATAATCGATTATGTCCTCTTCCGCAAGCGTCCACGCATTAATGGAAATGCTATCGTCTCACCTGTTGGTGTTGGCAGGGGCGGGTACAGCGGCGAATGAGCGTTGCGCCCTCCAGCCAGCCGTGCAGCCGTTCTTCCCAGCACAACCGCTCTTCGGTTGCCCGCATCAATGCACCTCCGGCGCCTCAGATGCCGCCACGTGTGTTCATGCGTCCGGCCCTGCAGCATCCCTACACCCTTCGCCCCTAATTAGGATATCCTTCCACGGGTACAGGTACGGCGACATGTGGGTCATTCCCGTTCTGCGGCTTGGTCAGACACTCTCGCAGACAACTCTCTCGCAACTCTTTCAAGCCCTCTCGACTAACTCTGAAGACTGCCAGCAACTTGCTGAAACTGGGCTTGATTCTGGGTCTGGTGTTCAAGCATGGAGCTTGGGAGGATGGGCTTCCGCGCTGGTAGGCTCGTGGGTGAGTTTCCTGCGCGCACAGCCGCCAAAGGCCGGTGAGCTACGGGCGCGTTCAGTTACGCGGATAATCGCACGCGAACATGCCGCACATTGGTCGGAAAGGAGGCGGCGGGAGCAGGGAGGGGCCAGAGCGCTGCGCGTGTGAGTCAAAATGCGCTTTGACCACGCGATACTTTGCGTTGACCGGCGGTTGGGCGGCAAAATGTTGTCGGGGGCCTGTGGAAGGTGTTCCAAAGTCGCAGGGTGGCTTTCGAGGAGTGCGCGGGTGGCGCGGAACCGTTTGGTGGAGTTGAGAGTGGCGGGCGTTCCTTCGCGCGGACTTTGACTGTCGGTTAGGGAGAGCGTTACGGGTCCCTAAAAGTGTCGAAATTTTGCCTGAGTTGGAGCTCTGAGAGGTCTCCGTTGAACACTGTCGCAGGTGCGTGAGAGGATGCCATGTTCTGCGTTTTTTGCAGTAATTCCAATAATTTGCAGTAGTTTGCAGCAAGCGATTGTACCCGTGTGCAGCCGCAAATGTGTCCGATGGGCATCTTGGTATCGGCGCAGGCAAATCTAGGAGCGTGCCGTGATGCCCATGAGGCAGTGCGATTTTGGGCCGGAAAAGGCCGTGCGACCATGCACCGTCGATGGTGCCAACAGCGCCGTACCTCACTCCAGAGAGTTATGTTGAAATCTCGACCTCGTCCTGGTGACTCATCAGAGTAATGTACTTGCCGGGCTGGCGCTGAGCTTTATACCGATAGCTTACTGTCAACAATACCAACAATCTAGTAATAATTTAACACCAACACTTACAGCCAATATCGATATCCATATTAATATGGAATGACAACGAGATCATGGGTACATAGGTATACGACGAGTGGGTCAATCTCATGATGCCTCCTCAGCTTATCAATATATCGAAGTATCTCCCTTATTGGACTCCGTGGACAATGCGCCACAAACGTGCTTACAACACACAAGCACACACACAAATATGTATACGTATACGACTGTCAGCTTTGCAACAGATTCTGATGCACCGTATTTGCCGCGGGCAGACTTCCGATTCTATCGCACGATCGCGATTCTTGCGATTGTGGCGGTTTTCTTGGCGACGGGCGCGGACGCCAGGCGCCGCAGCGACGACAGCGATGGGGACTGCGGCAGCCTTCACGAAAAGTGCTGCAGGTGGAGGACCTGCGACGACGGTCTCGTGTGCAAAGGGACCTACGGCAACCGGAAGTGAGTGGCGCGAAGCGTTGCATAAAAGCACCCGCAACAATCTCTTTTCTTGTCTGCTTGCTTTGATTACTCTATTTTTCTTTTGTCCATTCTTTGAGGGCACGAGGGCTGGGAGGGGAGATAAAATATGCGCATGTTCACATTTTCACACCCGAGCGTTTCCAAATTCCGTATAGCCGGGTGCATTTGCAACGCAGTCTGCGGGTAGCATTACGCCCCGTGATGTATATTAGATTTCTTGTCGTGCAACTGTGGTGGATGCACCCTCTGCATTGCGATTGCACCACTGGCGGGAAGTCGGTTGTACGTTGTTGCGGCTCGGCGGCTATTTGTGCCGACGAGGAACAGGTACATGAATTGCCATAATGGCATTTTCCTTCAAACGTTTCAAATGTTGTATTTGACTACATAAACTATGTGTTTTGTTGTGATGTAATACAATATAGTATTCAAAAGGAATGTTATCCGCGCATGCAAAGCATGTAGGCATGTGGTGCACTGACTCCATGTGGCTCCTGTTTCCAAAGATGCGTCCAAAACTCCGACAAGCAGTCAGAAGATTCCGAAGACTCCAAATCAAAGAAATCCAATGGTGAGGCTGCCACTGCTCCCCTCTTCTCTCCATCTTTTAGCCCAACTCACCGCCTTTGATTTGCCATCCCATTATCGTATGGTTAGGAAAAATATTTCCAGGATCAGTTCTTCATAAGTGTTTTTCTTAATTTCGAAGTTTTCGATTACATTTTTTTCTGATAGTGATAATGTACGCTGCACCATTTATGCTGCGCACGACGCAGCCGGCGTCGTCAGTGCCTGCATCCCCCACATGTGCAAAAGTGAGCAAATGCGAATGAAAGAGGAACGAGGAAGCGCAGCAACGCGTGCAGGCACAAATGCATGTATGTTCCAACGGCGTGCATGTCCAATAAAACAAAGCGCAAAAACATGGACAATGGCTCCAAATTCATCCCATATGCTGCAGTATGCTGTCGCATCGTCCTGCTGCGCTAGCGCAATTTTGTTGCACCTGCGCGCTGTTGTCGCTCTTCACGCGTTTTCCCACCTGGACGCATCCATCGCATCCACAGCTCGAGTGACCACTCGCTGGCTCCACCGCAGACTGCCCCAGCGGCCAGTACCGCAACAGGCGCTGGCGCTGCCAGGACTGCGACGCCAACTGCGACAGCGCCCCGGGCTCCTGCGTCGACTTGCAGGGCTGCAAAGCCTGCAAGCCCGGGTACAAGCTGGATGCCTGGCGGCGCTGCGCCCAGGACTGCCAGAACGGCCTCGATCCAGTCACTGGACAGTGCGTTCCCGACGGCCAGTGCCCCAGTGGCAAGTACAAGCACGGCACCAAAGACTCGTGGTCGTGCGAGAAATGTGACAGGAACTGCGCTCCCGGAAAGTGCCTGGACTTCAAAAACTGCGTGAAGTGTGAGGACGGGTACGGCGCCAAAGTGGAGGGGGATTGCAGGATGGTGTGCAGCCGGGACGGTTCCGAGGAGATTGTGGACGGCGTGTGTGCGTGCAAGGCCGGCTTCTTCAGGAACGACGAAGGGAACTGCGAGTGCCCGGCGAATCACGTGAAGATCCAGGGGGAGTGCACGTCTTGCGGGGAGGGGATGATAGTGAAACGCAACAGGTTTGCGTAATGGCAGTTGCTGAAACAAGTTCGAACAACAGTTCGCTCAAACAAGTTTACCCAACAGTTTGTTCGCACAAGTCTAAACTGCTTGTTCCAACAAACACATTTGTTTGTTCCTCGTGCGAATGCACTGGCACGACGTCGCGACGTTTACGAATGTAGCGGGCAAATGGGGGCGTCTAGGCCCGCCGATGCTTCAATGTCCACCCGACTAACGACGGTAAGCGCAACAGGTATTTTTGTGTGTCCCCTGCACGGATGAGTCGATGTGACGTCAGAACATCAACCAAAAAGACAAGAAGCTCACAACGGCAAACAAATCTGGTGGTTGGCGCATTTAAATTCACGGGCCACACCCTTCTATCGTTCAACACGTCCAGGCCACCGATGCTTCGAAATATTTGGATTTGCTAATTATTGGCCATTCAGTTAGTGCACCAGTGCTTCCCAATAACAGTGGCAAGCGCAACAGGTGTCGGTGCGACACGACAAAGAACCTGAAGGAAGAGAACGGCGTGTGCGTTTGCCGGAAGGGCCACGCCAGGGACGCAGCAACAGGGACCTGCATGAAGTGCGGGGCGTACATGGAGGTGCGCGATGGACAGTGCATGTGCCAGGAGGGCAAGGGCCTGGTGCTGTGGGCCGGCCAGTGCAGCTGCCCGACGGGGTCCAAGTGGGCGGGGGGCAAATGTGTCTGCCCCGACGGCCATGAGCTGTGGGGCTCCAAATGCGTGCCGAAGTGCAACAGCGACCAGGTAACGTACAGTCGCTCTGCCCTATCCTCGTTATCCATATATTTGTTGGAGCACACATGATGAAAATAGAATGATTATCATTGCGTTTATTGTACTTCCGCTGCACTACTTGTTCTACCATTGTTTCTGTTTACTTGGCGCATACGAGATCTCACTCTCATCGCATGCATAACAATATCAACAGATAGAAGTATAATAGAATGTAATAGTGTAATTGTTGCGAGCGAGCGAAGCGAACGGAGCTTCACAGAGCAACAATGCGCTTTTGGCCGATCGCCGGCCGCCAACCGTCCCCCCCCCCCCCTCCCGGGCTTCCTTCACCTTTGCGCAGGGCACGGCGTGGGCGCCGACCCGCCTCCTGCCGGTTTCCCATGGGTATCTCCACCGGCACACGGCCTGGTGATGTGGACTTAAAGGCTTGCACAAGACATGACTGTGCGCGTGGTCGCTTTTTCGCGTTACGCATGTAGCCGTTACGGCGTGCACATTACAAGGCGTCGGTGGGGAGCTCCGCGACAAGCGCTCTGCATAGTACGCAGTGCACACCCTTGACCGCTGACTGGCAAGGGTGGGTGAGTGGGGCTGCACCGGGCTGCGTGAACCAGGCGGCACTTGAGCGAGTGGTCGGCGGTGGCGATTGCCATCGCCTACGGCCTTGGCTCGAGTCGCGTCTGGGTCGGGGATCGGCCCGACCCGGGGGGTGGACTGTAGGGTGGGGAAAGAGCCAATGCGGAAAACTCTGTTCAAGGCTTTCGACGCTGCCAGTTGCTCGATGCGATGTTAACTTCGGGCAAGCTGGCGGCCGCTTTGAAGTGCCTCTTGGCAATAGACTAGAGCGAGTGGTATTGTTTTGTCTTTCTCTGGGTGGGGTGGGGGGTGGGGGGGTGGGGGAGTGGGGGGCGGGGCGGGCTTAGAGGGCAGCTTTGGCACTGCCTGTCATTCGGAAGGAAGTGGCTGTGAATTTTTGGTCATCGATCTGCGTGCAAGGTTTGCAATGCTGGCAGTTTTCCTGCAGTCTGGCTCATGAATTGCCGCAAAAGCGTGTGTGCATGCGCACCACTCGAGCAAGCGTGGTTGCGCAAGCACTGTGTATTTTTGTCTGATGCAAATCCGGGACATCAATACGCAGCTCAAAATTTTGAGCTTTAAAGCGGCCTGCAAATATCTGGAAACTCGAACAGGCATCATGCATTCCTCAACGCTAATTCAAGTGGTCTGGCCTGTTCCAAACCATTTGAATTGCAAACACAAGCACCTTCGGTATTGCGCACTTTCAGTTAAATGAATGTGCGCAACAACGAAGGTGCTTGTGTTTGCAACCCGGGGCACAAGCTGCTTGGCGTCAATGGAAAGCAGCAGTGCAAGCTCTCATGCTCTCAGGAAGTTGGTGTGGTAAGCCTTGCATCCAAAGCGCAGACGCAGTTCGCGATATGCACGTGAGCACGTCAACAAATTCATTTCAAACTTTTCCACGCCAGCAAAACCAAGTTGCATGGGATGTCCAATCACAATCGCTTGCATTTGCCTTGCCAGCCACCTCCTGGGTCGTCTCATATATTTGCAGATATATTATGAAGTGTTGAGCACATTCTTGCATTCATTTGCATTCGATTCACACAAACAGAATAATGATTTTTTATGCGAGATCTTTCTCATTGTGCTACTTCCTCCAGACGCAAATAAAAACCACTGCTGCTAAGAAAACAAGTACCGAGACTTCCTGCAATCGTTGTCCTGTTTGTTTGTTTTTTCGTTTTTTCTTCCTTACGTGGATGCATCGACGTGACGTCACGGCATTGGTCAATGCAGCGTACCATCCAGCGCGCGAGGGGCACGTGTACACGATCATTTCCATGTTGTTCACTTTAATGGAAGTTGCTTATTGGCTTGCGTACGGCCCAGAAGCAGAAATATTACCCTCGTTGTCAGTGCAGACGCAAAGGAAAACACGCCGTGTTGCCACTCGTAATCACAGCTATTGACAACAACGATTGCGGAAACTGTGTGCGAAAGGCGACACATAGCAGCTGCCGCGAATGATGGAAAATATGCGCACAAACCGCTCTGCCACTGGAAAATAGTACGGGCGAAATCTGCGTCTTATGTATCTTCCCCAGAACTGAGCAAACTGCTCACCTGTGCACAAATTGTAAGGTAGTTGCTTTTAATATTTTCTTTAATGTACGCGATTTTGCTTGAGCACAGCCTCCAAGTTTGCAGGGAAATTGTAGGAGACAGTAGCACTTGTCGCATTCGATGAGATCCCATCCTATCACATCTTCACACTGAAATTCACCCAAAATGGAAGGTTCCATCAATCCGTCGCTCTAACCAGTGTTTTCCTCCAGGCGCGCGACCAGACCACGGGTGACTGCGTGTGCAGCAATCCCGGCCATGAGTTGGTGCACATGAACGGTCAAAATACCTGCAAGCCACCATGCGAAGGCAGCAAGGGGCTGGTGAGTGAAATGCTGCAGGCAGCAATATTGCATCGATTTCGAACAATAATTCAAGGCGAAAGAACCTCGCGGCCGCTCACGTGTCGCTGGCGGCAACAATAGCGGCTCAATGCGCTGTCGATTGCATCACAACAGGACGCAGCCATAACTCTCATCACCATCATCATCATCATCATTTTTTACAGAACAAGGCAATGAGGTAGCCGTCAGCTTCCTATTTTGCCTGAGCAAAGCAGTGTCAGTGATTGGTTCATTGGAATCTAAGGAGAATACAAACTAAATGTATGAATTATGAAATTTCGCTGCCTAAAAGTGATAATCGATGGTAATACATAACTCTCTCTCGTGGCGTTGATAAGGAATGAATGCATGTTAACAGGGATAACCAGCCCAATGCACAATCCCTATCTTTGACCCCCGACTGCTTAGACTCATGCATTGCACAATATTCGTGCTCAATCAGCGCACACGCTAAAGGTAAGAGACACACAGAAACGCTAAGGTACACGTTAGAGCACAAGCTACTTGCCATGCCTGTCCTCTACTGAGTATTGCGTAATCACTTTCCGAAAATCTTGTTCCCATCGCTTTGTAGGTGCGAGGCCACAACGGGGACTGCATCTGCAGCGAGGCGACATACGATATTCTGTCGATCAATGGAATGCAAATATGCAAGCCTCCGTGCCCCCACAGAGACGGTTTGGTGAGAAAACATGAGGCGATTTTAGTGAATATTTTCTGCTTGCATTGGGGCAGCAAACTCCGTCTAGAAAATATCAGTGTAATCTATCTGACGGCATTACCGGCGTTTTCCTAGACCGCCTTCGGATATTTGTTTGCAAACAATCCAGTACTACGGTAGCGGGCATTTTCTGCATTAAGAAATACATAAAAAGGCCAATAGTCATGTGCGAGAGGTTGATTTGCGCATATCTTGAGGAATCGCAATCCAATCACAATCAAATTTAGCATGAAAGACTTCACTGCGACATCGCTGGCTCACAGTATCGTATGGCACTGCTTTTCTCTCTACTTTGTCTATTGAACAGAAAATGCACGAATATGTCCCAAAATCCAAAGGTGGCCGGATGAGCGCTAGTCAGTTTGCCACCACGATCTCCTACTCTTCCAAGTGCCTGCCAATCTTCATTGAAATACAATCCCATTCTGCAGCATTTCCGCAGACAGTGGCGCAGTGAAGTGTAGCGAAAGCAGCATCGGGCACTCTCAGGATGCGAATCACGGGACATCTCGTGCCACATGGGCAGCGGCTCGCTTGTAACTTAGCGCATTTAAACAGGCATCAATGCTACTTGTAAACGCTGATTGAAATGTTCGAAACTGAAGGTGCACAACTATGAAGGCGATTGCGTTTGCAAGAACCCAGATTACGAGCTGCTAAGGATCGACGGAAGGCAGCAGTGCAAGCCTCCATGCTCCCATGAGGCTGGTCTGGTGAGCGCCGCACCGATGCATCAGAAGAACAGACGCATTTGACGTGACGTGTTGTGAGCATTTGAGTGGAAGGATCTGGAATTAGTACCTGCAAATGAATCCTGGTGGCATGATGTCGCCGTTCATGGACCTCCTGGTCCGTTTGACATATAATGATGGCTCAGACATCCTGCGACATCTCATGCAGCAACCCTAATAATTGAGCGCATTAATAAATTCGATTCCATCCAGCGGCGAAAACTGTACAAACAGTTGAATTTCGGGCGATTCCTTGACTTTCTTCGAATTTAATTGTATAAAAATTGCTCAGTAGTGGTTGGTACAATGAAACCATTGTCGTGGTTTTCCATTGAATTGCAGAACTGGAGTTCAAAAACATACCTCTCCTTTTGTGACGCGCATTTGCAGCAACAAAAGATGAAAGTTTGCCCGTAGGTTTAGACGCAGCAACGAAACCTGCAGTTCTTCCAAATGCAATCTCGGTCACCGCTGGGAGACCATTGTGGCAACTGCGTCTGCATTCGCGATGCACAAAACCTGCGACAGAGACGAATATACGCCGCGTTTCATTTGGAAATTCGGGCTGGTGAAATCCGCGCCCTTTATTTCCTCCCCCGCTTTCAACAACCAACTCAATTTCATATTTTGTTTTGAAAACTGCTTCCCGAGGTGGTAGGCAGATTTTCGATAACGGCGGCGCTTGCAGCATTCGATGATGTTCCTTCCCGTGACTCCTTTACAGCGCGGTTATACCGAAATTTGAAAATTCCGAGCCCTGACTGGTTGCTGCCCTTCAGGTGCACGACCACATCACGGGCGACTGCGTGTGCCAGAATCCTGGCTATGGGTTGTTGCACATGAACGGCCAACTGACGTGCCAGCCGCCATGCGAATGGAGTAAGGGTCTGGTGAGTGCCATACTGCACCCTATTATTATACTACACCTATATCAAAAATGCCTAATCAGCCTAATACTACATCTATTTCAAAAATAAACATTAACATGCCATGAGGCGAACCACATGGGGGGCCCACGTGGTTGGTGAGCGAAATGAGGGCTCAGTGCAGTCGTTGACGATTGCTTCACAATAATTATTGTATCGCAATAATTATTGCGACAAAGAAGCTATTACAAGACTCAGCACAAACTCTCGGGTCTTCGATTGTGGAGCGAATGCGAAATCAGCAGGAAGAATCAACCCTTTTTTCACCATTGACATTTGTTGTCCTTTTCACCGCGACTCAGATCCACACGTGGCGCAGTGTCGGTGCACATTCCAGATTTTGGCGCCCACGCATATGAGAAGACACGCAGAGACGCGCGGAAGCCCTCGCTAGAAATGAAGCTTCTAACCATGCTTCTTCTCTAAGCAAGCTTAATAGAATTCTTCCCGGAAGTGCGTTCCCATCGTTTTGTAGGTACGAGGCGAGAATGGGAAATGCGTGTGCAGCCAGGAGACGTTCGAGATTCTTCGGATCAGTGGCGACGAAATATGCAAGCCCCCATGCCCCCATGAAGACGGCTTGGTGAGAAAAAATGAGACGATTTGAAATGCGTTATTTCTTCTGGCAATGAATCAGCAGATGGCGCCTAGAAAATGTCAGTGAGATCAACTGGACGCCATTACCGGTGTTTTCGTAGACCGCCTTCGTATATGGGTTTTCGATTAATCCAGAGCTGCGGCAGCTGGCAATTCCGACATTACAAAATGCAAGCAGACCAAAAGTCGTGTGGGGGAGGCTGATCTGGAGGAGCCTCGAGTCAGCCACAATCAAATTTAGCATGAAAGACTTCGTTGCGACAGCGCTGGCTCGCAATACCACATGCCTCAACTTCCCTTTGTTTTGTTCTGTTAGAAAGAAACTGCACGGAGATTGTTTCAAAGTACGAAGTTGGCCGCATGATCGCAAGTCAGCTTACTGCAACAATCAGCCTTTCTGACATGGCTGCTGGGCAATTTTCCGTACTTTCCAATGCTCACCGCCAGCTACCGTAGTGCTGAATTATTTGGAAATCCACATACAAAGGCGGTCTACGAAAGCGCCAATGATGTCATCCAGTAGGTTTCAGTGTCATTTTCTACAACTAGTTTTCTGCCCCATTGCCGGAAGCAATAACGCATTCCAAATCGCGTCATAATTTCTCACCAAGCCGCCTTCGTGGGGGCATGGAGGCTTGCATATTTCCTCGCCACTGATCCGCACAATCTCGTAAGTTGCCTCAATGCACACGCAGTCCCCGTTCTCGCCTCGTACCTGCAAAGTGACGGGAACACACCTTTGGAAAGAATTATATTAGGCTTGGCACGAGAAGAAGCAAGGTCAGCAGCTTGACTTCCTGCATGTGCCTATGCATGTCTGTGCGCACCTTCTCTTGTCCGCGTGCGCCGAAATCTTGATTGTGCACCGAACTGCACCATGTGGGAATCTGACCGGTTGCGACAAACAGAGATACAGAATGCCAATTGCCCATTCTTGTTATTGAGGCATTATCTCATTGTCCCAGCCCCGAGACAGAATTTGCGCTGCGTCCTATTGTGGTGCAATGGGTAGCACCGGCATGAAAGCGCAATTTCGGTCGCTAACGACTCGCGAGCGCTTGTGTGTTTCGCCACGGACATGTTGGTATGAACTATTGCAATCGCACTGCCTGCATTGTTTCCCTCACCAGACCACTTCTCCTTTCACATGGCGGCTTGCATATCTGCTGACCGTTCATGTGCACCAACTCGTAGCCGGGATTGCGGCACCTACTTCTTGTTGGTTTATCTGTTGGAAAGAAACTCCACGGAAATGAGCTAAAGTACAAAGCTGGCCGCAAAAACGCGAGTTGGGCTACTGCAACAATAACATACTCTTCCAGGTACCTTCCAGCTTCATGGCAATAGAACTATCTCCCACTATGCAGCATTTACGCAGACAGTAACAGGGCGAAGTGCAGCGAAAGCAGCATCGGGAACTCTCAGGATGCGAGCCACGGGACATCTTGTGCCACATGGGCAACGGCTCTCTTTGTACCTGATCACATTAAAAGGCATCAATGCTATTTATCAAAGCTGATTGAAATGCTTGAAACTGAAGGTGCACAACAATGATGGCGATTGCGTTTGCAACAACCCTGCTTACGAGCTGCTAAAGATCGACGGAAAGCAGAAATGCAAGCCTCCATGCTCCCAGGAGGCTGGTCTGGTGAGCCCTGCATTCAAAGAACAGACACGCTTTTTTGAAATGTGTTATTGCTTTTGGCAATAGGGCAGCAAACGCGGAATAAAAATGTATGACTGAAATCTACAGGATGATATTACTAACGCTTCGTACAACGCTTTCGTATGTGGGGCTTCAAATAACCCAGCACTACGGTAGCTGGCAGTGAGCATTGAGAACGCAAAAACCGCCTAACAGCCATATGAGAAAGGCTGATGTGCGCATACCTTGACGAATAGTGAAGCAATCACATTCAAATTCAGTCTGAGAGACTTCAGTGCGAAATCGCTGGCTCACTATGACACATGCCATTACTTCGCTTTGATTTTTCTGTTGGAAAGGAATTGCGCGGAGATGTATCTAAATTCAAAGCTGGCCGCATGGGCGCGAGGTATTTTACAACAACGATCACCTACTCTTCCAAGCAGTGTCTGGCATTTACTGCAATACAATAAGCCCCCATTGTGCAGCATTTCCGACGGCAACAGAGTGAAGTGTAGCGGAAGCAGCATCGGGCACACTCAGGATGCGAGCCGCGGAACATGTCCTGCATGGGCATCGACTCTCTTTGCCCCAGATCTCATTTATAAAGGCATCAATGCTATTTCTCAGCGCTGATTGAAATACTTGAAACTGAAGGTGCACAACCACGAAGGTGATTGCATTTGCAAAAACCCTGCTTACGAGCTGCTGAAGATCAACGGGAAGCAGCAGTGCAAGCCTCCATGCTCCCATGAGGCCGGCCTGGTGAGTCCTGCATCCAAAGGACATGCACAAGTTTGGTGCGATGCATTGCACGTACCTCAATAGGGACATTCCAAATTTCTATATACAAATAAATTATCATGCTTTCCCATGCGTTTTCAGTTCCTTTCTGGCACACATGTGCGGCCAATACCAACAAAATCAAATTGTTTGTCAGAGAAGATGGAAGAAAGAACGCAACGATCTTCCAGACGCAACAGCTGTCACTGTTAAACCAATATTGTGGTACCCACGTCTCCATAAGCTGTGCAAAAACCTGATGTTGTTCACAGGGAAAGACGCGTACAAGTGGCCTCGCCACTGCAAATTCTGACCGGGGAGTTGTGTGCCTTGTTGAGATGTGTGGACCTCAACACCAACTTCTATTGTAGGCAATTTGTTTTGAATGCTGCCTCCGAATTCGCGGTGGTACTTTCGGAGGCAAGAGTTTTGCGATATGCGTCGAAACTCCCCCACATGACACCCTCACATCACAGGACGTCAGAGATCAAACGTTTCAGCATGAGCGCGTTTTGACCAGTTGCTGTTCTCCAGGCGCACGACCAGACCACGGGTGACTGCGTATGCCTCGATTCCGGCTATGAGCTGTTGTCGATGAACGGCCAACAGGCCTGCAAGCCGCCATGCGAAGGAAGCAGGGGTCTGGTGAGCGCGGTGGATTTGAAAGCGCTGTGGCATCAGTCCACAAACAGCGTAACAATGGCGATTCAAGTTGCCGTACCTCCGCCTTTGCTGGTCCCAATGGCGTCTCCACGCCAGCTCTCTTGATGCCATCACTATGCGATGCCATTCAAATTAAGTCGGAGCCTCAACGAGTTAATGCTACTTTTTCCATATTTTCTGAAAAGAACGTCCCTGTCACCTTCAAAGGTGCGAGGCGCGGGTGGAGGCTGCATATGCAGTGACGCCACATACGAGCTCCTGTCCATCAACGGAGAGCAAATCTGCAAGCCTCCTTGCCCGCATGGAGCCGGCTTGGTGAGAAAATATGTGCCCAGATGAAGTGTTTTGTTGCATCTGTTGATGAGGTAGAAACCGGCATCTGAAATGTATCAAAGCAGATCAACGACTACAGAGTTGTGAATGCGGACACTGCAGTTTCCGCACGGCAGCGATAGAACGGCAACGTACTCCGCCCGTCCGGCCCCCGTTCGCAAACCCTGCCCCCCATCCCTTGTCCCCTCCCCGACAAATCCTGGGGATGCCCGTTGTGGCATTTCCATCAAAGTGGGTCTGCGATGTCCGTTTATGCAACAGAACGTTGTGTATATATAGAAAGGAAAATGTGGCGGACACCTGTATGTCCATTTGCATGTCCGATTGCCAATGCTGGAGCAATCAACACGCACAATTGCCATGGAGGCTTAGGTATGCAGTGGGTGCAATAAAAATATACAACAGACGGTATTTCTGGCGTTTTTGCAGAGTGGTTGGCGCTCCTCAGCTCCTGAGGAATGCAGTTCTTTTATGCTTGCCAATTTGCCTGCCAATCGTCAAGAAGGCAGCACCGCTGTGCAAGGATTACCCACAGAGAGACTCTCTTATTTCATGTACCTTCTAGCGTTCATGTCAGACGCATAGTGCCCATTTGCTCGCATACCTACGATTATCAACATTTCGAAGTGCAATGGAAACATCACCGGGTTTTTGCATAATGCGAATCACGGGACGTCACTATGCAGCTGAAAGATGGCCATCCCTGCACCTGGAAAAAAGACACAGGCATCATATCTGTTCCTTTACGCTGATTTAGCCGTTTGGAGAGAACAGGTGCACAACAGCGAAGGTGTCTGCGCTTGCAAGGACCCAGATTACGAGCTGCTGTTGATCAACGGAGAGCAGCAGTGCAAGCCTCCGTGCTCCGAGGCTGGTCTGGTGAGTCTTGTACTTAAGCATTAGGTGCGATTGACGTGGTGCATTGTGTACCCTTCAAGAGGAAGATAGACAAATTTCACTAAGATGAAAAAATCAATTTGCATGAGATCTTGTCTATGAAAGTTTTGCCTCGTCGCTTGTTTCCTGGGTCACCGCGCATCTTTCAATCCTTGCAAGCATTCCTGAAACTCCTAGAACAACACTATGGTAAGACGAGCGCATTCTTGCACTTTGGATTTCGGCAGCATGAAAAGCCATACAGCATTTTCGACTTTCGGGCAAATCCATTACAGTCCTAGAAATGAATCTGAAATGGAATGGCTCCTGTTCATCAAACGTTGTGTGAATTTTACCCATCGCTTTCGCGCGCTGCAAAGCAATTAAACGCAAAGAAACGAAGCTTTTAAATCAAAGCTATTGTGCTGCGCATACGAATCCAAAACGCAAAAATAATTGGTGCATTTTTAGACGCAATCCGCACAATTGTTGCTTAGCACTTGATGGGATTTTGCCTGCAGCGATAATGAGAATAACACAGCTTAACCGCCTGGATGTTGAGAATTAGGCGCTGTGAGATGTATTGCTTTATTTTCTCCTTCGTTTAAGCAAACACCTCAATAGTGAATATTGTGAACAAATTATCGCCTATGGATTTTCAGGAATATTTTGAAAGGCAGGAGCGCAGAAATCATTGGAAGAGGTCCCTTCCATGACACCGCTCAAGCACAATTGTTACATAATTTAACATGTTGCCATGTTGAACGGCACGCTTGTCCATTTGCTGTTCTACAGGTGCACGACCAGACCACGGGCGACTGCGTGTGCAGCAATTCCGGGTATGAGTTGGTGCACATGAACGGTCAACAGACCTGCAAGCCGCCATGCGAAGGCAGTAGGGGGCTGGTGAGAGCAACATTGTGGGCAGCATTAGTGCATGAAATCAAAACAGCACATCAAAAGCGAGCCACAAGGGTAGACAAGCTTCTTTGTTGGCTTTGAATGGAGGTCCCGTGCCAAGCACATTGACGTTATCACGATTGGACGCATTATAAATGCCCTCGGGGCCTGAATGGAGCAACTCTGCATCCGCAAAAAGGGACATAATGCAGCATCAGAATCGCATCTACTGTTTCCTCTCAAGATGATATCGCATATGCTAGTGGTCGCGAACGTTGTAAAAGTTTTCCGTGCAAATATGTGCACCGAGATGCGCGGAGACACGCATGGATACACACACCATCGTAATCATCAAAATCCATCATTTGTCAGAAAATGAAACAACACGGTCCACTCACCTGATAGGCGATGATGGGCGAGAAAAGCCGATTGTTTGTTCGTGGTCCCATGTCCTCACCCCATTGTTCCGTGAATGGTCCAAACTGCGGTGAATGGTAAATTCACATGGGCGATAGTCAGAAAAGGCAGTGAAGAAAAATCATTTCCAACTCTCGGTCCCCATGTCCCGCACGGGCCCACGCACACCAAAACGCGCACCAGGATTCCAAGAGCCTGGTGGAGCCAGCTCAGAAATGCCCCAGTACATTGCTGCATGTACCAGACACCGATCATACTCATGGCATGTGATACGGGCACAATAAAAATCTGGAAAATAGAACAAAATGTGCGGTCGGTCCCACCGCCATAAACCACACATGCGGCAAGCCGGTGAATGAAAGAGCTGGCAGCGAAAAAGAAAATGGCGACATGGCTTTGGCCAAAAATTACAACAGAAAAGCAAATTGCGGCAGCAAAAAGGGCCTCGCCCAATCGAGGGAATGTGTGAGCGTCCAAATCACAGCCAAGACGCTGCGCAGTGCTGTTGCCCTCTGCCAGTCGTGATTATCCATGGATATCATCACTGATGCACACAGGGAACGAAATGCTGACCCCGCCCGTTTTGGCGCTGCTCAGAAGCGCCACCCAAACACTAACAACTGTGTGTGCAAAGACCCCCAAGCGGTGCTTGCGCCCGGCAGCGACGGTAGTCCAACACGGGAGCGACCCTGCAAGAATAAATTAGACGTCTGCATGTGCGAAAACTCCGCTGAAACTCTATTTCGCGGCAAAAATGGGAATCCCTTTTGCAGACCTCCCTGCCCCGAAGAAGGCGCACTGGCGGGACCTGCTGCAACCGCCCAGCATTTGCGACCGTACCTCTACAACGCACTTACCGCCGTACCTCTAACCATGACGTACTCGCCCATACCGCTTGCTGAAAATCGGACATCTGATCTTGTGGCCCATCCTCGGCGCTATTTTTTGACAGCCGCAAAATGGGGTAAAGTACTGAGGAGGATCTGGATGCGTTTTCAGCATTTTTCTATTCAGTTATTCATATCTTCCTGCATGCAAACATTGCAGCAGGATGGGAATGCCATATTCGCTGGATGCGGCTGTTTTACGACGCAGGTCTGAGCACTGGTGTTCGGCAGGTGCGCGGCAAGAACGGCGACTGCACCTGCAGGGAACCAGACTACGATCTGCTAGAGATAATGGGCAAGCAGATGTGCAAGCCCCCTTGCCCCCACGATGCTGGTTTGGTAAGCTACTTGGTCTCAGAATTTTATAATATGCGCCACATCCAAGGAAATTTCAGGTGCTTATGTTCCACGTAAAGAAAGCTCTTTGAGATTTCCAGCACTTGCAAGAATGGGCCAAATATACGGTTTGGACAATCGTGCACCGTGTAACACGATTCGAAATTGTTAAAAAATCGTTTTAAACTGTGTACTTATTATACACAAATGGGACCAGGCCGTGCAGTAACGATTTCGATCCATTTTGGATCCAAGGGAAGGTGCTGTGCAAGCCGTCTTGATATCTAGTCCGGGAAGTCGAAAATGAGGAAAGCATCATACCAATCTATATTTCCGTAAACACTCTTTCGTCATTTGCGACTTCCCTTTCAGAAAATGACTATTACTGGCATCATAAATGCTGAAATGGAGCATAATTGCTTCAAGAGAAACTTCCGAAATCACGAGGTCTCCTGGAGTACCATGCACATGGGAATTTCGTAAACTGATTTACTCAAATTACGCATGTGAAATCGAACGAAAATAAGCAGGACTGGCTGTACTTTAGGTGCGCGACGAGACAACGGGCGACTGCATTTGCCAGCATTCTGAATGGCAGGTGGTGCTGGTCAAGGGTCTCTGGATCTGCCGGCCACCTTGCGACCCCACCGAGGGTCTGGTAAGTAAATCGCAGCGGCAACGCAATTCAAAATTCACGCATTGATGCCGAATTGGCTGTGCATCTTATCATTACACAAGTTGGCGCAGCCCTAGCTCCTTTCTGCGGAACGTTGCAACTTTGCCAAGGCATGAGGCAGTCGAGCAAGCATCCACATTTGGTGGTGTTGCTGCTCAGTACTTTTTGCTCCGTGGCTAATGGAAATGCATGCTCGCCATTACTCATTCAGAAACACCGTCAATGGCGATCTTCCGAGACCGGCTTGCTTGCTGAAATCACAGCGCCATTCGCTAATCACAGCATCAATCACTAGGAAAAAATGGGCTAAATAACACTTTTGCGAACACACATAAAACACATTCCATCATAGTTTTACACACTAAGAAGACAAGAATAACACAAACCCGTAAACTTTGCACACGTTTGAACACGTGTTATTTGGCCCTTTTTTTCCTAGTGAATGCAGCTTTACCTTTGGTAACTGCGACGAGCGACTCTATACCTACTGCCGGCCAACGGCGGGGCAGATTCTGGGCCTGAATATTTCAAATTTGCAGGTTCGAGGCGAAGACGGTTACTGCACGTGCGAGGATGACTCATACACGCCGCTGCAAATCGGTGGAAAACTGAAGTGCAGGCCGCCGTGCAGATACGAGGACGGATTGGTGCGTGGCCCCCGGTTCATTTAATCTCCTCTCTTGCGCGCAAATCAACACACAGAGTAATCACATGAGCAACAAATAAAGTAGGTTGAATAGATGCAAGAAAATGGTGAAATGACATGCGCGGCCCTCTGGAGGGCAGCAGGATGGCCTGTGAACTTTCCAAAGCCTATTGAAGCCCCTGGTATTCAAATGCAAACAATTGATGCGTACTGGCCTCTGCCGCATCGCCAAGCGAGATTCTGAAACGCCTGAGGGCGCTTTACGCTTTATTAGGAGTGAGCGAGTTCTCACCAAATTTTACTTTTGTTGGGAACAACCAGAAAATTTTGTCATCACCCTACCGCGGCTTAGACGGAGCAACTGGGTTGCTTCACGAAGCAGGCCTGAGAGTTTGTGTTGTTCAGGTGCACGACGCGAACGGCGACTGCATCTGCAAGGAACCGAGCTACAAAATGCTTGCGATCATGGACAAACAGATGTGCAAGGCCCCTTGCTCCCACGAGGCTGGTTTGGTGAGCCCCATATCCCACATGCATTTTAGCTCAACGTGAATCTGTGCCTTCTAACTGAGCGAAGCTTCCTTCGTCCTCTTCCGCTCCCAGCTTTCTCCAAGTTGAGATTTTGATTCAACAACGCAATCCTTTCCCTCTCCGGAACTGGCTGTGGCCATACGCCTCCCTTCAATCTCCAAAGATCTGCGTTTGCTTTGGCTCGCTCTGAATCAAAAAGAATTGGGATGTGATGCATTGCATGAGGCTCTGTGGGAAGCCTGCACATTGCAAAGTGCTAGAATTTTTGCAAATTAATGGAGGTGTTGTGTTCATTCGAGGATATGCAATACAAACTACATATATTTGGACGAGCACTGTCGCTGAATATCTCATCTGCCTGAATTTGCGCAGACTCACTCGAGTACGTCCGGAGATTGTGTTTGTAAGGATCCAGGGGCAGAGCTAATAAGATACGAGGATGGCACGGAGATTTGCAAGCCTCCTTGTGACCAGGAGTATGGACTGGTATGGACTTTGGCGAGGTTTCCCCGAGCATCTGCAGCAGTGCAACGACAGATTGATGTTGAATGTAGAAGTTCCATGCTCACACCTGTGAAAGCCATCCCTCTTGCTAACGTTTACAGAATTCATGTACAGGAATAAAGGCGGCACTTTGGTGCGTAATGAAAGCCACCAATGAGTCCCGGTCATCGGAGAGGTTTCCCGCCACAAAGGACTGGACTTTTAAAGTTGGTTGTGTTTGTCCACCGGACTTCATTCTTTTGTTTTCCAGGTGCGCAACGACATGGGCGAGTGTGTGTGCGAAGAAGACACGCACGAGCTTCTCTTGATCGAAGGAAAAGCGCAGTGCAAGCAGCCTTGCAGCCGAGGACACGGATTGGTGAGATGCTTGCCGAATTTCGACTTCACTTTCAGAAACGGAGTATTTTTTTATTGTCGATGCTGAGCTGGGCCATCAAAGGCTATAGGAAAATTCCCAAATCTCAAGAAATCCTGCAGTAATGTGCACATAGGAATATCTAATGTACTCGTGTGGAATTGGTTGAATATCTCATCGTTTACGTATTGGCGCGTGCCTCGCTCTTTGCTACAAGGGCTGCCATCTTACCGACGCAAGAAATAGCCGATCTAGCATCCACTCATGGAAGCTTCTGACTCAATCGCTTCCGCTCTGTGACTCATGGGTATGCTTGCAGGCAACTGCGCGTGCAGAAGCACTCTCGATGGTCACCGCCCGAGACGTTTTCCTTTTTTCGAAATCACAGCATTATTAAATCTTTGATTGCCACAGCGAATGACAAAAACCCGATGCCTGGCCACGATGGGGCATATTTTAAGTCTGGTAGTGATTCGAAATTTGCAGGTGCGCGGCGAAGACGGTAGTTGCGTGTGCGCTGATGAATCGTACACACCGCTGCAAATCGATGGCAATATGCACTGCAAGCCGCCTTGCAGACACGACGACGGATTGGTGCGTGGTACCCGATGCCTTCATCTCCACTCTCGCCGGCAATCGACTCACAAGGGAATT